GCAGCAGATGAACGTCGTTTTTTGGGTTCCTGAACTTTCAGTCCAAGGTCGACGGGTTTTTGCAAGTATTTCAAAATGCTTATTACCTTAAATCGACTTTTCAGTAAGCATCCGTAACAACAAGACCAAAGAAAAAAAGCACACCAAACTAGTCATACTTACTGTATCAGCTTTGCTTCGACAGACCTCTGAACCAAGAATTTTGCGAATAATTTTCACCTGAAAACCACCGGTAATTAAAATAACTGAAAAAACTGCCAGCGGCTGCTTTCGTTATCTACGACAACAACAGCGAAAGAGAAATATTGCGACTCAGGTTTAAAAAACTAAGTTCCTCTCAAAACTGCTTTTCCAGTGGTAAAGAAACACAAAACTCTTAATTAAGACAATCAATAAAAACCACAACTACTGAGTCCTTGGAAAGTAAGATATACAACATTAAAAGTGCATCTTTCAAAAGTTACCTCTACACCTCTCAGTTTCATAGCCAACGCCTTCCTCTTTTCAAATTCACGACTGTTCACATCAAATGAAAAACCATTGAATTTTCTTAAATCCCTCTTTACTGTTACCGTTGTCCCCGATTTACCATAGCAAAGCCGATGCAATGGTTTGAGCTCCTCGCCACGGATTTTAGTCATAGAAGCATTTACTAAAAGTATACACGGAATTCATGGATTATTTTTCCCTAAATGAAGTGGTAACAATCTACTCAGTCTGTCTAATCAATAGAGTAAGGTTTTCGCAACACAGTTAGTGAGAACTTACCATACTCGATGTCTCCTAACGGAACACCGCTGCCGGAAATTTCCGGTATAAATTTCTTAGGTGATTGTTTCGGTGTCGAAACCAGTCTGTTTACTGTGTGGCGCTCACGCTTGCCTTCCAGAACTAGCGGTTTATCAAGAAGGCCTAAAAGAAACTGCTAGCCAGATCCGGTCTGAAATTTCTTACAGGTGCAAAACTTTAGAGGAGAACACTGAAGCACAAACTGAATAGACATCAGACTTTTATTACAAAGTTGAACGTTAAAACCGAACTCTTTCTATGCGTCCCTCCATTAGTATGAAAATTTACAAAGCCAATCCAAAAATAAGCCCAGGTAGGATTCTTGAATCAAAAACAAATGTTTATTCCACACCCTTTGCAAGCGCAACATCAAAAAATTGAAAATAAAACTACACTGTTAGCGTTCAAAAAAAAGTATGCTAGAGCCGGAATTACTGCAATTTGAAAAGTTGGAAGGTATAATCCCGGCGTTTTTAAGAAATTTAAGCGACAGCTGAACCCGATGACTATTTATTTAAATAACTGAAGTGACGACTAGACAATAAATAACACTTACCTTGCTTAGGAGCATTTTCTTTAACTTCCGTAGTCCCTCCCGTCTCTGTACACGTCGAAGAGTTCGGATGATCATTAGTCACATTATCTTTTTTTTCAGCAGCAACATCGTTTTCACGTTCTGCTGGACGTTCAATTTTTACTTGTTCATTTTCGTCTTCGAGAGTACTTTTAGCAAGATCATGCGGGCTCACTTCCGACTTTACCAAAGTACCCACATCATCAGACTAAATAAGGACATCTAGTAAAAAACATGTGACACAAAAAATCAAAAAAATTTTATTAAACCTCTAAGGTAAATTACACGCACAATTTCTGTGAAACAAACCATCTGCCTAAAGAAGTCTTCACGCAACTCAGTCTCTAATTTATGATTACAAACAACTGTCTGACTCTAGAACAACCTGGCAAGAATCAGAATTTTCTGTAAAATGAGCTTCTAATCGCGCTGACCTTTGGCTGAAAACCTCCACACATTCGACCATAACCAAAGGTCAACAAAAAGCAGAAGATGGTATTTAAAGCAGACTAGAAAGACATGTAGAGACTCAACGCACTACGTGATCAACCCACTAAAAAAAAGAAAAACATAAATAAATTTCCGACACTTCAGACCTCCCTCTTTCCCTAGTGTTTTTCAGTGGTATCAACACTTTATTTTGTGAAATTCTACGACGCGACTGTTGCGATTTAGTTAACCGCAAATTACCAATTATTGGAGTTAAATTATGGAGACAAAAATATACAGACAAAATATAATCATAACTGAATTTTCTTCCCAGTTCCTGCATTCATCAAGCAAAATCTTCTAACCTCAGCGTCCAAAATTTTACAAATACTCCTTTATACTCTAAAGTTCTTACTTTCTCGGGTGGAAGGTCAATATCCATTTTTTCTTCGTCGTTTGTTACAGACATGGCGATCCAACTGCTGCCCTTTTATGACTAAAAATTTAAAAAATCCAGACCACTTAAAGAAAACGAAGTTATATCAGCACAAAATTCGGGAAAACGGATGCAAAAAAGGAGTGAAAGTAAGAATCCACCAACAAAAACTGCAAATTAAGAGATTTGCTTGACCAAATTGTAACATACAAGTGAGAACTAAAAAGAAAATGAAAGTGTCGAAAATGTGGACCCAGTTTCGCGGACTTATCAAGCAAAAGAATAACTTTCAAAATTAAAACAGCAGGCAAAATTGAATGTGAAAGAAGAAGGAAGAAGCACTAAAGTTAAACGCAAGAATTCAAAGCAAACGTCGCTTAAAAATTTGCTCCACCTTTAAAAATAAATGTGCGGGAACGTTTGCCGCGTATCGGATGCGCCAAGAACGCGCCATGTTTAGCGCGCCCACCACAAGCATTCCTTGCGAGGCAAGTTTTCGCTTGTTACAGCCAAATAACTGCAGCTGCTTTTTCCTCTTGATCCACTTTTACCTAATTTCCCCATCTATCCACTTAAAAAATATCTTAGTGAAGGGTTTCGTGGAAAGCATTTCCCAGCGCAAAGCCGTTCGCTCTTTCCTTTCTTGAACTTGAGGATATTTTTTCTTTGAGTATTCTACTCCGAGGGAATTCTTC